ATATCAAAGCAATATTTAAATGGTAAATGTTGATGTTATTCACTGAAGTTGAATGTGTTCCTGCAATTTCAGTGCAGATCCTTTTAAGATTTTATTCTGGCTAACATTCTCACTAAATCTACCATGGAAAGTGGAGACTGATTCCTACAATAAAATATGCCAAGGAATTAATTATTCCTTTCAACCTTGGATCCGAACCTCCATATTTATTGACTTGTTGAAAAAATTATTTAACATTTTATTGTGAATTATTCATTAGAGGTTTTTGGGCTGCCCGTATGTTGACAGTACACATTAAACATTCCTGTATGTGTCTTTTTTCAAAAAAATAAGTAAATTAGAATGAACTCTTAGTAATAAACACGTAAATTAAATGTGTCTTTAAGTAATTTAACTAATACATGTAGCACAATTTCATTCTGTATTGAAATAAGTGTTTTGAGAGCTATTATTTTTTTTAATAATACTGTTTGTCTTCAGTGGAATGAGGAAAGTTAAACACTAGGTAGTTCACAGTTTACACCTCATTATCTGCTATCAGGGATATGTCTCAGTCAATTAATTAGCCAATTAAGAGACACTTACTCCCTCTCTTACAGACACTCATAACCTAGCTCTCACTGATATAAAAGCAACCTTACAATTTTGAATGAAAACATGAGAATGATTTTTCAAATTTTAAAGTTACTAAAACACAAGTTTGAAGTTGTTTAAACATTTTCAGGTATGAATAAGTATTTCCATCTTCTTCTTTTTTCGAGTACATGCAATGTAGTTTATTTACCAAATTATTTATATTTAATACAGCACTTAAATCTGTGCTATTTATTATTTTCTATTACAAGACAAAGTTTTTCAACATCTGAAATATGAAAAAGGACATGCAGCAAGAGGACAGTGGGTCAAATGTAAAATGCACACAAAAAATCTGTGTATTTTATTAATAAATGGTTGAAATACACTTCTGAATTATTTAATACTAGACCAGTAGGTCTATAATGCAAATTTTATTGAGAACATTATTAAACTTATGATAAGAAATATTAGGAAATCCAAACATTACACTAGGTGGTTTATATTTGATATTTATGTGTGACTGACTGGAAATAATTGTCCAAAATAACATCCATTTATGTATAAAACAATCGAAAGTAATCAGAAAGTAATTATAATTACATTAAAAATTTTAGCTGTAATCGATTAAATTACGATTACAAGTAATCGAAAATCTCTTCGATTACAGATTACTGTCGATTACTTGAAAAACAGTAATCATTACAATCGATTACGATTACTCGATTACGATTACCCCATCCCTGGTGTTCTTACCAATTTTGACCGGGCGAGCAAAATGGCTCACAATCTTGTACACTTAATTCCTTTTGACAGTCAAAAAAGTACTTCCCAGACCCTTCCCCTGTAAAAAAAAGATGAAGGTCAAAATATGGGATACAGAACTATGCACTAATATAAATGTATTATACGTGATTTTTCCAATTTTGACCGGGCTAGCTAAATGGGTTACCGCTCTTGTAAACTCAATTCCTTTTGACAGTCAAGGGATCCCTCCCAGACTCCTCCCCTGTAAAAGGATAAAGGTCAAAATATGGGATCCAGGGTGTTTGCCAGCCTCGAGAACTATGTACTCTTATAACTGTATTATAAGGGATTTTTCCAATTTTGACCGGGCTAGCTAAATGGGTTACCGCTCTTGTAAACTCAATTCCTTTTGACAGTCAAGGGGTCCCTCCCAGACCTCTCCCCTGTAAAAAGATGAAGGTCTAAATATGGGATCCAGGGTGTTAGCAAGCCCCGAGAACTATGTACTCTTATAACTGTATTATAAGGGATTTTTCCAATTTTGACCGGGCTAGCTAAATGGGTTACCGCTTTTGTAAACTCAAACGACCTTCCGATCACGGAGCGAGTGCTCTACTGACTGAGCTACGGTGACGGTCAAAGAGTTATGTGATCTAATAAACACGATATGTTATTCTATGTTTTGTGAGCTATCGTCTTACGGCGCACGAATTATAACGTCAAAATATCTAAAGTAACGTCACATTTCATCTTCGCTAAAAAGTTGGGTAAGCCCTAATTTAATTCCGGGAAAGTTATTGACGAATATACTCGAGTTTCTCTTTATTCGTAGTTGAGTCGCGAATCTTGCGCACATATAAGACCTTAGGAAAACTTGTTTTAGTAAATAATGAAAAGTACTCTTACTTTCACTGAACTAAATAGACAGTCCTTTTTTCAACGTTCTGCAATAAAAGCGTTGATATCTACATGTCTAAGCAGAAATTTTAGCGAGGATTTAATTTTGGCATTTTTAGCGAGGGAGTTGAGATCACTAAAATTAAATATCGATAATAATTCATTCCCACATTTGAGGTTACTGTTATCTTTCAAGGCATCACAAAATCGATAAAATTATTCTCGCTTAAATTAAATAAAACGATTTGTGATAAAAAAAAAGGCATGATTTGTGTCTCGCTAAAAATTCAACTTGAACGGTATTCTAAATAGCTTACCGCTCCATGATCGGGAGGTCGTGAGTTCGAATCTCGGCCGCTACTGACCTAATTCGATGAAAAATGGGTAGTAACTGTTCCATCACCATGCGCTCGGCACTTTTAAGTGAAAGTTGCGGGTCTTTCGGATGATACCTTAAAAACCGAGGCCCCCACTCGTTGGAGTTGGCACGATAAAGATCCCTCACTGCTCAATGGCACTGATTGCCGAGTATAGGTCAAAATTTGAAGCCCTTCACCGGTATGTGGTGAATTCTCTATATGAGTGAAAAATTCTCGAATGAGACGTAAACAACATACAACCAATCAATCAAATTACTGTCTGTATTTTCTGATCTACCGGGGGACTCGATGAAAAAATTTCCGCTTAAAAATGGCAATTACACTTGTATTCTAATGTATAAGTGATATTTTTAGTTCAATTATCTTCTTTTATCATTTGAAGTCTCTTAAGGCCTCATAACTCAATCAGCATTTAATTGAATTGCTCTCCTGTCCGCCGTAATGTCATCAAACGGCGCCATTTTTCAAGTGTTGCGTTTACCACTTTTCCATTTCAAATTCTCAAATAAACTTTATCTGATAATATGACTTAAAAATAATGCTGATAGGAAAACGTATATATTAAATAACTTTACTTTTTTAAGGCAACTTTTGAGAATAAATAACCTGAAAAAAAAAAATAAAAACAGATAATATTGAATAGTTCAAATTTATTTAACTACATATAGATGGATTTTGTGAACTTATGAATGAAAATTCTTTATAAGATGGTTTATCTGGAAAAAAATATAAAGTTTAATGACAAGGAATGAACGCTATTACAATTTTCATTGGTCCCTTTTCAATTTATATATACATGATCATCGTCGCCAGCCATGGGATTTGTAAACATTCTATTACCATTTTGAATTTGAATAGACACAAGCCCCCTTGCTAGCGAGGATGGTATTTGATTTAAATTTGAAAAAAAAGTTGCATTTAGAATGAAAAATGTGGAGATAACGAACAGTATTCGAGCTCAGAGGTCCATTTAACATTACAAAATAGGAGCAGAGCAAAAACAGACCTCTAAAACATTAGAGGTGGGATCAGGTGCCATAGAGGAGTGAGCATCCCCTAAAAACTGGTCACACCCGCCGTGTACTCCTTTTCATAATCGAGAAATAACGGAAAAGTCCGTCGACAATTTAGTGTTTAAATAATGGCCTAACAATTAGTATGAAAAAAGTCAGTCAGCATTTGACTTTATGATAGATTGTATTTGCAGACAAGGTCATTGTATCGACCATAGAAATTACGAAATGATTACTTTGAGCGAGATTGCTGATATTCTCCTTCACTACTGTTAATATTTTAGTGAGGAGTAAAGAAAGAGGCTCGGTCGAACACTTACTTGAACCCTCTATGTATCTTTGTAAGGATTTTTATGAAGTTTCGGAATCCAATATAGATATGGTAATTCGAATTCATTTTGGTTGTTGGGAATATTAAAAATACATGTATTCAAAACTGAGGTTTGATTTTGAAGAATTTCCTCCTTAGAAAGGGAGCTATGGGTATAAGATGGATTTCCACTTGTAGAATTAAATCCCATTTCTTATAAAATAACAATATAGATAATGAGCCTTACAAACAAAGACAATGTTGTTATCTGCTTTGTCAGCAGGGACCAGTACGTACTGATCGTGTAATTTATCTAATTCTTTTTTCACTCTGAATTACTGAATACAGAAGGATAGATGGTTTTTATACTGCCCCTCAATCGTTTAATGCGAGATTTTAACATATATCTGATACATTTAATCCATTCTGACAAAGTGTCAAGGTCTTCTTTTTCATGTCTGATCCAATGCCTGGCGTAATTCTCTACAGAATCCATAATATGTATGAAATTACGACGCCAGGTAAAGGATCTGGGTCTCTATATTTAGGACCTTTTAAAATTAGTGATCTAAGGTCCTCATTATTAACTATTTTTATGTTACCAGTAATAACGTGTCCAGCAGGACTACAGTTATAGGGTGAAGAAGAACATGAACACGAAGGAGGATTATGTTTCAGATATTCGATATCCAGGCCCTGTAGTTTTCTTGTAATTAAAAAGTTTGGGAGCAATAGTCGATGTATATTTGTAGGAAATACAAGGTGTAGTCTTCAACTTGAAATATGGTAGAATACAAGACTAGACCCTTTGGTTATTAAGAATATTACTTATATTAACCGCGTCAATTCCTTCGTTGGCATATTGGAGTTTAAGGAAAAAACGGGTTGTTTTAGCTGCATTTTCTTCAGTAAAACGTGGCGGTTTAAAAAGCCTACAAAAAATTCTGGAGGATACCAAATCCCAATTTTTATGGTAAAAATTGATAGGCAAATTGTATGATCCAAGTTCCCTGCATGTACTTACCTTACTTTTAAAGAGCTGACACACTGTGCAAAAAATCAGTGAAAAGAACATATGGATGAAAATATTTTGGATAGATTTTAATGGGTTTTTTTTGTTCTTCCTTTCTTTGTTTGTTTGACAATTTGGTTCGAAGCAAAAGCTTCAACGGCAAAAAATTATTTTGTTTTCTTCCCTTTATTTATCCATGTGTAATACTATTAGCGAATGTGATGGGTTAGGGTGCAGATCATGAATATTCTTCCTTTTTATATGATGGACACCTTGTACAAATTCAAATCATTTAAATTTTTCAGTTTGGATATTTGCCATCAAATCAAATTTATGCTTTGAGATTTTAAATTCAACAAGATAATCGAGAAATATATGCGTAATGTTCAACATGTGTGTTTCTCTAAGAATAGAAATGACAAAATTAATTTAATAAACGTGTAATTTCATCTTTTTAGGGTGATTTATATTTTGGTTGGGCATTTCTAACAAATATAATCTCAGTGCATGAAGTCATCTTAATTAGATCAAATAACAATCCATGCTTTAAAAAAAATGAATGGAATTGCAAAACACCCTAAGGACTTTCTTCCATGGATTGATCGTCTTGCCAATAAAAATTCCATTGCTTTTCTAACATCTGAAAAAAAAAATCTGATGTTATAAATGTGCTTAGAAATATAAATAAAAAACATGCATTTGTCATTAATTTTTAGTAGACTTTTAAATTTTTTTCCTTCTGGAAGAAAAAAATAATAAAAGGAAAAGCTTTTTGACATGCTTACAGATGATAAGTAGCACATATATTTATGAATTGAAAGTGTTATTAAAACACTTACAAATGTCAATTTATATTTGCTTGTTGAATTAATAAATAACAAATGCCTATGAGCTATCTGAAAAAGATTATTTCTTTTCCATATCTATCTAGAAAATAAAGGGAGTGCATTGTGGATTTATTTCGACGCAAAAAAAGATTATGAAAATTATAGAAAGAACGTATTTATTATTTCCTGGAAGATTTTCATTTTCTTTGAATCCATTTCGTTAAATTAACGTAAAATATTTGGTTAATAGCATTATCTACTTGTACCCTTCCGTCTTAATTACTGTTTGTGAATCCTGATAACCAAAAATTTTTCCAAATTGCTTCTTAAAAAAATTTAATTGAACAATAGTTGATAAAGTTTAAAAACTTGCCTCAATCCGTTGGGTCATTTTTTGATAGATTTTATCTATCTGGGAACGTCGTGTTTCCAATGCTTCCATTCTTTCATTTTCACCTTTAAGCTCCTTTACATAATCAATCCACTGTGTAAGTAGACAGAGAGCATCCTGGTTCACCTCACTGAGAAATAATTCATGTTTTAACCTTGAAAGTCATCAAGTATGTACTCAACAAAATAGTAAACTTGTTACAGTCTCCTTATATTTAAAAATGTTTAAGAAGAAATGCAGGGAATTTACCGCCTTTTTCGAAAGCTTGAATCTTTGCTTTCTTTCATTTATTTAAGTTAAATATGAGAATTATTTAGTACGATAAAATTCAACAAACCAAGTATTGCTTATTATTATTCATGCTTGCAGTTTGAATATAACAGTGAGTTCCTAAAATATCTGGACAAGCCCCATGCATATTATATTTTATGAACTTTTAATATATGAGTATGTGGGTTTAAAATTTGGTACAGTATTTAAGATGTTAATCTTAAACGGTACCAAATTGATGCACTAGATGCGCACATCTGCATATGCCTCTTCAATGATGATCAGACCGAAACGTTGGAAATTCGAATTATTTAAAAAAGAATTGAAAGAGCTGAAAAAGTGGTACAAAAGACTGCATCCAAATATGTTTATTTTGCCAATGTAGCAATTGCATAAAAATTTATAGGCACGGTAAAGCAAAGGGCGCGTAACTCTGTTTTGTTGTGACGAAAACGTCCTCAATATTTTCGTATTTTTTGTATGGCGGACAAAGTGAAAGAAGTATATATACTACGGCAATATTCTAAGCCTGTATGCAACAGAATGCTTTTTAATAAGGATTTACACTTAGAAAAGGTATTACAGCTTGCGTATTTTTAGTTCAAACGTTTTTAAGCGTGGAAATTTAATAAATAGTACCCAATCGAAAGCTAAAATATGCAGTAGAAATTTTGTCAGTCTTTATACGCCATTAAAAGCAACGTTAACACTGTTTAGAAAAATAATAATTTCTATTCATGTGTCATGAAAGTAAATATTGATTTACACCCGTATTCGAAAGAGAGATACGTTTTTTGAACACCTCCACAATATGACTTATCCGAGTCTCGTTTTCGATTCACACCCCACATGCTTTCGACAGGCGAAATCACAGGTACACAACAGGTAAAAACAGCACAATTTCATTATAAAACGAATGTCATTATAATTATTTTCTGATTATGATAATAATAATAAACATCAACAACAAATAGGCTAAAAAAATTTTGTCAAGTAGAAGCTAAATCTTGCGAAAAAGTAAGAAAAAAATCACGCAAATGTTGATTGCGATGTCATTGTTTAGTAGATAACGGATATTTTCCCGTACTTTTTAGAAAAGTACGGGAAATGTTGCAGAATTTAAAATTGAGATATTAATAAATTATTATCTTTAGATACAGGTTCAACATGTCCAAACTGCAAGTTAAAAAATATTGGAAACAATTAAATCTTCAAGATATTTATACATTTTATTGTATGTATCAAGAGGTAACCATGGATGGAATTTTTTTTTCTCTATTTGACCATGTGTTTTCACAAACAGTGATATTTTATAGTAAATATTCTGTAGCTACCTTCCAAACAAGATACAGCTTATATGTTTATCAACTTGCTCACTATCTAAATTCCTCACTACAGTTTTCCTTGTTCTTGGTATAAATGCATAAATTTAATGTAAAAAGTTAACTTTGTATTTTACAACTTATAAAGCATTTTGTACAGTGGATTCAAAGCAAAATAAATTCTATTAGTCATATACTGAGTTAAGACAAAGATTTTTATAAGCGGTATAACTGAACAACTATAAAGCTTAAAACTTCAAATTCATTACCTGTTATATTCACTATTCCTGGTGGTGATTTTTATTTAATGATGTTTAAAGTGAACTTAAATTGCTTGTATTTATGACCTGCCTTGAATATGGTTGGGCATATAGTTCTCATGTCCATCTTTCATCCCCCGTCCTTCCATCACACTTCATGCTTAGCTCAGTTTCAAAGAAACTATTGAAGATATTTACCAAACTTCATATGCTGATACATATTGATGAGAGCTATACTCACATGCATCAAGTTGAACATTTTCTGAACTTGACCTTTCCTCTGACCTCACTTTTCTTAATCATTTTTTCCTCAAGAAGAAGTACTCAAAATATTTTTATGCCCCCGTAATCGAAGATTCGGGGGTATATAGTTTTTGTCCTGTTTGTCTGCAAAAACTTTAACCTTGGTCATAACTTTTGAGTGGGTGCAGCAATGGCTTTCATATTGCACAGGTGTATTTCTTGTGACAAGACCTTTCTTAGGGTACCACTGAATTTGACCTCTTGACCTTTATCTTGGAATTTGACTTGCATTGAGAAATTTCAACCCTTGCCATGAGCTGCATCAGTATTTCACAAACACAATTTATTGTACTTGTTTTTCAGATTAAGAGTATAAAGTTAATGGCTTCTTAAATCCAGAAGATGAAGCAAGTCTTCCTCAAAGTATATTAGACAAAGCAGTAGCTTTAGTTGACTCTTTTTCTTGTGAAATATGTAGGGATGGCCTTTTAGCAGTTGAAGCGTTTTTGATTAATGACTTACCAAACAAAGTGCTCATACTGATGGACCTTTTGCAAATACAACTTATTCAAAATGACCTTAAACATTTAAAACCTACCCTTATTAGAAAATTAAAGCAATACATAGACAAAAAAAAATCGGCAATGTTTTGAAAGATTTACTCTCTGACAGTCTTCTTGATATGCATGAATATCATTCCCTCATGAGAAAATTGAAAAGAGCCTGTGGGCTACCAAACTTTCTGTAGTATTATTATAGCACTGTAAATGATGGAAGAAACTAAAACAATGAATGTAAAAACCACCATCCAAATTTTTGAACAAAGTAAATCCATTAAAAGTACAGATTTTTTGAGAGAATCATTTTCTTTACATACTAAGACACCTTGTGAATTAATTAATACTGCCGCCCTAAAAAACAAAATTACTCCGGTACAAAACTAAGCTCAAAAGCAAAAGAGGAAAGGTTAAAGAGGACTTTGAAAAGGATTTTTTTTTCAATTCCAATAAACACTTCAGCCCCTCGTGAAGGAAAATTTGAACAAATCAGAACATTGACAAGTGAAGAAACTTGCACAAAATTAGCTGTTGAATTTCATGAAGTTAAGAAAAAGGCAGCTGAAGAAATTACAAAAATCAAAGACCAAACTGTTAATCTTGTCCAAAATGAGAAGAAACATAATAAAGAAATACTCAGTTTGAAAAATCTCATTCTTTGGAATTAGACCAGCAAGCAAAGAAAACAAAAAATGAAAACAGAAAATTCTATACAATTAAAACTCTATCTGCAGAAATAAAACATCTGAATGAGAAACTTGATGACACCTCAAAAAGAAAAAAAAGCCTTACAATATAAAAATGTCTTGCTACAAAGAAAGCTTTCAAGAACACCTAAATTATGCAACTTTAAAATAAGGAAACTGAAAATCAGTCTTATTGAAGAGAAAAATAAAGTTTCAAAGTGTTTCAAGGAAATTGAAAATTTAAAAGCACAAAATATGAACATAAACACTGAGCTTGTTAAAGCTAAGGAAACTATTGCAGATATGTCTGAATCAATGAAGGGCTCAGACATTGACAAGATTGATGAATTAAGAGCAGAAATTAAAAATCTGCTCACTGATAGAGACTACTTACAGTCTCTCCTACAAGACAACTCCAAACTAGAAATGTTGGACCCAACAACAAACGCATATAGTCCAAGTACAAGACAGTGTATTATGAACCTAACAAATTATAATGTGTCCTCTCAAAATGTTGGGCCTGTCATTGTAGAGGTATTGAAACTTGTAGGCAAAAAACCTAATGTTGTACCATCTAGAAAAACAATTGATAATATTGTTCTTGAAAAGATTGCAGTGGGTCATAGACAACTGGCTACAACACTGGGTACCCCTGAAAACACTTGTCTCTATGGTGACGAGACAAGGAAATTTGGAAAGACATACCAAACATTTTTAGTAAGTGATGACACCAAAAAAATATATTTTTCGGGACTTAGAGATATGGTTGACAAAGCTGCAAAAACTACTATGGATACTTTCTCAGAAATACTGGGTGATATAACGCACATATGTCAAACATATGAAAGTGAAGAAATTATTACCAGTGGACACAAAATACTGGTGAACATAAAGAACTTTATGTCAGACAGGGCACAAACAAATATTGCATTTTGTGATTTGCTAGAAGATTACAGAAATCATATCTTGCCCAGTTTTGTTTCCACATGGAATGAGTTGACAGACAATGAACGAATGATTACAACAAATGTTAATAATTTTTTTTGTGGACTTCATCTGCTTCTCAATTTTGCAGAGTGTATTTCACCCATTCTTTCAGCTTTTGAGAAATTACAGGAGCAGGAGAAATCTGAACTTGAAGAAGAATCAGAAGATGAAGAATTTTGTAATCAGATATATTCTTCTGATCCAAACACAACGCGGGTATGTTAAGGCTACACCCAGAGATATCCTACTTGCCTTTATAATGTGACGTCATACTAAGCTGTATGACGTGAACTTTAGAAATAATGACTTCTTAATATCTATATTCAAAGTTTAATTTCAGGTCAAAGAAATGAATGGAATTATTCAAAACATAATATAAACAAAATTTTGTCGTTTTTTGGGTGAAATAAATAGCTAAGTATTTAGCACGAGGGTTAAATACTAAATACTAAACCCATGACGTCATAACTATTGATCAAATATTTGCCGAGTGAAGTTAATGGTGACGAGAATTCATGTAAACAAATAGATGAAATGGGAGTTTTAAAGCATATACCATGAATGTTATGTGTGATTCATAAGAAATTAAAGATTAAGAATCAGGTTCGCTGATATATTCTTATCATGTTTTCTTATAATGAACACAGGCAGTGCTTTGAAAGCCCGATCAGCCTTTCCTCTGTCGTTCTATAACAACAAAGATGCAAAAGTTCAACACTACGCCGCATACTTTGAAACAAATTTTTTGTTTGTATCGAAAGCATGTATTCTATAGTACTTGGAAAGTGCTGCTAGAATCGTGTGG